TAGCCTGTAATAGCTTGTGACTCCCGTTTCCTTTGCAAGCTCTCTGCTGTCAAACTTGTGATGGAGACTGATCTTCACTCTGATCCAAAGAGACTTCAGAAAGGCAAAAACTTGAATCATATCATTCTGTCAGCTCCACCAACAATGACTTGACTGTTTTCTGATTGATTTTGCTCTGTTCTTTTCTTGCTATTTCTGCAGGATGTCAGAGATCTGAAGTGAGGAATCCCTGCCGAAGCAATTTTTTGGCATTATCCCAGCGACAGATCATCCCTGATTTGGCTGAATTTGGCAAACCGTTGACCCCTCCTGTGTGAGGGTGATTCGTAACCCATCCCTCACCCTGGAAGGCGACACAGCTGTGCTCTGGTGTCTACCTCTGAGCTCAAACGGGGGCCTAGAGGGGGGGCAGGGCAGTACGCCTCTCATGCCGCACCAAGATGGACTCTAGCATCATTAGCCCGGACCCTGCGGCCAAAGAGGAGATCACCCCCCAGTACGACAGCAGCGAGGAATGGGAGATAGGCCTGGGCAACCTCATCATTGACCTGGACGCCGATCTGGAGAAGGACCGGCAGGATGTGCCCTCGGCCGACTGCAGCAGCCCCCTGAGAATCGGCAAAATGAAGATCAAGCGGAAGGTGAGCAGCTCCAAGGGAGAGTCAGCCACTGCCTCCTCACCCCGGAAGGACCCAAGCAGCAGCAGTAACGAAGAAGCCCTTCCTTTGACCACAACAGCAGCAGCAACAGGGGCTTCAACAGCACACCATGCATCACCTGAGCGGCAGGACCTGGTGAGCAAACCACGAGTGGTCATCCACCACAAGAAAGACTCAAGCGCCAAGCAGGAGAAGATATTCTGCAGCCCCGTCATGAACAATGCTTCCAAGGTGCCTGCTGCCGTGTCCCTAGTGCAGACCGCGGTTGCAGTGGCAAACCAAACCAACCCCACCGTTCTACTCAACGCTTCCATGGGAAATTTGCCCGTCCCTCTGCAGTCCCAACCACCACAGCAACCACCTAAGAACTCGGACAGCCTAAACCACGTCTTGCAAGGGGTCATGGGCAGCCCCATGGCCAGCACTGCCAAGGACTCGGAAAAAAAACAGGGCAGAGCGGACAACCGAGACAACGAAGTCAAAACAAAGGAGGACGGAAAGAAGAAAGATGAGAAGGAGGTCAAAGGTGATGTGAATAACAAGAAGGAGGTTGCTCATGGTGGTGTTAACAAGAAACATGGAGGAAAGAAGGGCAAAAATGACAAGGTGAGTAGTGTTATTGCTTGGAGCTGTTTACAATTTTATGTAGAACAGTTTTCTGGAAGAAAATGTCTCAACCACTGTTACAAAATTAGCACCTAACCTACAGGAGAGAGAGTCTATCCTACAGGAGAGAGAGTCTAACCTACAGGAGAGAGAGTCTAACCTATAGGAGAGAGAGTCTAACCTATAGGAGAGAGAGTCTAACCTACAGGAGAGAGTCTAACCTATAGGAGAGAGAGTCTAACCTATAGGAGAGAGAGTCTAACCTACAGGAGAGAGTCTAACCTATAGGAGAGAGTCTAACCTA